AATCCACGAATTACGGTTTGAACTGCTTGACCATCCACCTTACTCACCAGATCTAGCCCCAAGCGACTTCTTTTTGTTCCCTCATCTAAAAATTGCGCTCGGAGGACAGAGATTTTCGTCAAATGAAGAGGCAATCACCTTCGTGAACAATTATTTTGCAGAGAAAAACGCCGAGTACTATTTCGACGGGTTACAGAGATGGGAGCATCGCTGGGAGAAGTGTGTAGATTTACAAGGAGACTATGTTGAAAAATAAAAAACAATTTTCAGAAAAAATGACTTGTATCTTTGTTAGGTCGGAAACTTTTCAGACCACCCTCGTATTCTACGTTGACGATTTAAATATTGGTATTTGAATACCAAAACAGTAAGAATGTTCAGGATTAGCTATGTGTATGGGAATTGGTACACGGAAAAAATAGTATGGTTGGCCCACACATAAATCTGGTTATGTCAGTCAGATTCAATAGTAAGATACGGAACAACTAATTATGTGGTTGCTGCAACCACAGAGTACAATTGATGAGTTACTGGCGCTGCAACAGTGACGATATCTGGCTGCTCCAGCCAGAGTGTATCCATGGTAAACGTCACCTCAACTGATATCTGTTTGCCACAACCAGATCATGTGCAACCACATTGATGTAGTTGATATATCAAAGTAACTGAATCATATCAACCGTAACATCACCATCACACAGAGACAATTAACGATGCAACTATGCTACTCAACTAAATACTTCTGGTTGTGTATATCATATCTTTTTTCCGTGTACTTTTACCTTAAATTTATCTCAAATTTGAAACAAATTTAAATATAAGATCGAGTTATGAACACATCCATAGCCGCTATTCGATAAATTTTCGAGTTAGTGGTGCGAATCGCGGTTATAAAAAAATCTGAATCCCTGTTGAAATATTTTTCGAACTTTGAATCTTCGCTTCTTCGTTTGTTTGAATATTTGGAAACACTCTTATCTTGTCGAGCAAAGAAAACAGGGAAACAGGCAAGTAAATATCAAACGCTGCTCTTAAAACAAAGTCAAAGTCAAACAAAGTCAATTAGACAAAGTCAAATTAAATAAGCATGTTATGCAATATCATTAGTTCACTTTAAGAGTAGCGTTTGGTTCTTACTTATCTGTTTTCCTTTTTTCTAATTCGATTCTAATTTCTAATAATTTTTTTTCTTGTTCGATTGGATGTCATCAGAAGTTTTATCAACTCACTTTTATCTCGATTACGTATACATATTCGCGAATTTTTACTGTTATGTGTAAAGAGATTTTGATCTTCCGAATTGATGACAATAATATCGTTTTCAGGTATGGCATTATTGCGATCTAAACGGCGGCAAGTCGTCGTTCTTATGCCCGAACGGTACAATATTCAGCCAGATAGCATTGACCTGCGACTGGTGGTTTAACGTGAAATGCGAGACGACTACTCAGCTGTACGTGCTGAACGAACGATTGTACAAATATATCTTGCCAATTATGCCAAAGTTCCCGGAGGATTTCACCGGTCCGGAAGTAGATCGATATTTGGAGCTCAAGTTTAAAGAGATGGAGGCGAAACTAAAAGAGAAGAAACTCAAGAAGCAACAAGAGGAAAAGAATAAGCAAAAGGGGAAGTCGCAAACGACGGACGATGACGACGACAACGATGAGTAGACGTGTAGCGTCACGCGCTGAATAATTTAGTCTCTATGTCTGACACACATTGTAGGTGTCTCGTTGCCATTACGATATACATAAACAAGAAAAACCCATCGTGGATTGTGACACCGCCTTGCAATCTCGAAAAAAGTGCAATATGTGTATGATAGAGTTATATGTGATTTAACGATAGGGAGGATCGCGCGTAAAAAGTTATAGTTAGATTATCGCGATCACTGTGTACGGGTATGAAATGGCTGATGATATATTAGATATTTCTTGTACTCCCTCTAGTCATATGCGTATTGTGTACTATTTATGACCGAAAGTGCTCGCCCGTTTGGCGTGAGCGCTATCTCTTTCGATCTACGGCCGACGAATAGTGCTGTATGTTGTCGCAGCACAATGTAAATCTCATAATTTTCGTATTTCAACGGAAAACAGTAACAGTTGAAGTACGCGCGATGCGCACCGAGAGAATGTAATCAATATTTTCCTCGCGTATATATATCGTCCGTAAAAAAAATATATCGGACATATTCGTCATTTGTTATAAATATATTAATATATATGTATGTATGTATGTATATGTAACCACACACTTTCTTTGTGGCGATCAATGTTATGTTTAGTATACGTCTAAATCTAAAGTATGTATCTCAATGATATATCTACGAGAATGTGACTTGACTATTTACTTGTAATTTATCAAGAGTCACTGCAAAATCACATTAAAATAGTGAGCAATACATTAATCTGAATATTACTATGATCATTAAATATTATTATATATAAATATTATATACAAATATTACTAAAGAAACAATATAATTCTTTCTACGTGTACCTAATATTTTATTAAATTTTTATTTTATTAAATTTTTACCTAGTATTTTATTAAAATCTTTAATAAATTTATTTATTAGTTACTTCCTAACACATGCTCGTCTCGTGTCAATTGTATGAACGGTTTCCAAATAAAAATACTTGATGAATATAGGTACTCACCTGTTTAGTCTGGATGACTCTTTGCAGATTGTCGGTGATTTTGTGGCTGACCTCGTCGAATTCGGCCATCATGTCCTCGTTCTGTAAAATAAACAGTGCAAATTAATATTTAAGTCTATCACCTTTATGATTATATATAAACAATAATGTGCAATTGACTTATTGTAATCCCGATATTGTACTAACCTTTTCTTGTAATGTAATATAATTGTGCATTTTGTGATTGTGTAGCATGCAGTTTGAACAGCCAGTGATATCACAGTCATTGCAAAAGTATCTTAACATTTCAAGGCACGTTGGTGAACAATAGTTCGTAATCGTACAGGAGATGTCATTTTTTTCTTTAACCAATAATATCTTTGTGTGATTCTGCAATGCTCTTCTATGAATCTACAAAGTAAAACAGAAGTCATAAGATATTAGCTTACTTAATAATAAACATCACTTTTTGCTACAATATACAAAAAATCAAATTACTTTAGAGTAGCAACTGGAACAGAAGAGAGCTAGGCATTGTATACACTTAATAGAAGCAGGACTTTCACATTCATGACAAAATTCTATAACAAATAAAAAGAATTGATAAATTTTCTTTTTAATCGCTGCAGTAAATATATTTGATTTGTTAATGAACTCCAAGTCTAACCTTGGTTTTGAATCTGGTATAATCGGTGAACTGGTGTATCACAAAACGCAAATTCTTGATCATCGAATTCTATTGCACGTTTGTTTGATGAAAGAATCAGGCCCAAGACGTACAAGTTCACTGGAAGTTTCTCAATGCCACTGTTCTCCACAGATTCATTACATGAAGAACAAAATATAGCATTTTTTTGCACACATTTACTACATATAGGATGTCCACAAGGTAATAACAAAGGTATATTGTTACCAACCAACATCTTATCTGTAACTATTTAGAATAGACATATCTTTAGTAATCTATCTCACACTATACTAATAACACAATACTAATGTAAGACATAATTATGCACAAAATATCTCAAAAATATCTCAATGTACAAGCATTTCTACTTATATGAATAGAAGTCATGAGAAATCAAGCAAATTTAAAATACAAATCTTCTTGAACTGCAAGCACATATTCAAACTGAGTCATATGTTTAAACATTTCTTTAACAATTGCACTACCTGCACATATGATACTTGTACCAAAGCACTGAATGGATGTGAGAAAAACTCTAAACTAACACTTGAGTTCTAAGCATTGCATACTATAAGGTAGCTTGCAGGAACACATGGAATCCTAACCTCTCCGGCGTGTGCCGGCCTTTTTCACTGTATCTACTCGTCAAAACGTAAGGATTTCGCGAGCCTCGTCATCACCAGCATTGTGCACGACGTATAAACATCGACGATGAGACAAACATACTGTTCTAAGCTTTCCATTATGAAATGCCGGTACTATGAAACGCCGTGTGCACGTGAATCAATAATGACGTCGTACAGCGGATCGTCACGCATAAGGATAAAAAGGACGAGAATGAAAGTTGAAAAATGTAATTACTTGGTACGTAGAATCTGCGACTGCAAGAGCTGCATTGTACATGCTTCGGATGCGCTTTGGGAATGCTGATGCACGATGATTTGTTATTGACTCTCAATGCTCTCGTGAAAGCTGGCTTCGGCATCGTGATATCGACACAACGCAAGAATGCGTCGTAGACTTTGCGATTTTCACACGTCGTCAGAGATCCGCCGTATCCAAGTGGATGGAAAACAATCACAAGTGACGAAACCGTCAGTGACGCGTCATGCGAGACAATAGCTGCCGTTCCGAGTTTGCCTACCCGCCACCACTTGCTCGCGCATCTTTATCTTTTCTCGCGCCAACATCGATTTGAACGATCACGCTTACGTCGACTACCTGCTCTGATTGGTTAAAACGCTTTCTAAACTATAAGTCCGCTTTACACTTCATACGCTCCCAGAACGTCAAATAAGCCAATATGGACTTCTGAAGCATTTGCAGCGCTAAACGGATCTTATCCTATAATAATGATCTATACACAGTATAGTAATGATTTATATACGGATTTATATACAGTACAAGTTTAAAAATCCACTTTCTGTATTGTTGTGCAATGAAGTCATTTAATGATGTCATAAGCAACCGAAGTTGATATGCTCAATTTTACTTTAAGCCAAACCTTCAGTCTATATATTATATGTTTATGGTTCCAATTGATCAAGTTCCAATCTTCGACGAACTTCGAAGTTCCATGAACGCAAGAAAAAATTTGAGAACATTTTTAGTTTCTTTCATGTAAAAAATTTAAATTTTCTATACAATTTACTTTATAAAAAAATTTCTCTACAATTTTGTCTTTTCGTATTACTAAGTAAAATTGAGCATTTTTACTTCGGTTGTTTATGACACTATTAAACTTCATTGCACAACAATACCCATACAGCAAAAAATCTCTTGTGAACGTCCTACAGATGTCTTGAGGATGTAGAACGTCCCCAGGACGTACTTTGGATGTCTCCTAGATATTTGTGCTGCTAGGGTACAGAAAATGAATTCTTAAGCCCGTGTTCTGAGTTTTCTTTCAACGATAAATGAGCCTCTAAAAATGACTCATAGCCAATCAGAAAGCTTATAAGCCACTTTTAGAGGCTCATTTATCGTTAAAAGAGAACTCATAATACAGGCCTAAAACTTGAAATTTCACTCTATCAAATAACATAAATGCCAATTTTGTAAAGATAAGTGCGAAACAGAATTATAATAAAATATCCATTTTAATATCCTTATTTTTATCTATGTTTCCAAACTTATGGAGGGTACTGTATGTATAAGATTAACAAAGTATCTACATATAATAAGCGAGCGTTCCAACACAAGATTTTTCTTTGTTTCGTACTATCGCGGTTATTATGGGCGCGTTCCGTTATAGGCTCGCACGCTCGCGAACGTCATTCTATCTTTGTTTAACATCCATGAGCAACAAAGATAGAATGACGCTTGCGAGCGTTGCGGGCGTGTAACGGAACGCGCCCAATGAATGTCGAGGATCGTCTACAAATAATAATTTATCTCGCTTCCGCCTATATCCTAACTCGTTTATACAGGAAGTATTTCCTGTAAATAAGAGATAGTAAGGCAAATGATTTTTATTTCTTGTTCCAGCTACGCGCCAAGTTTACTCCACGTATTATAGACGAATCTTTAGAACACGGCGGTAGATAATAATTGGCGGCGAATAAAACGTATTTACGCGAATCGATGTACACTGGAGCAATAAGTTAGAGTAAAAAGCAGAATACACTTGTTTCTTACTCTACACTTATTGCACTTTAACGTACACCGATTCAGGAAGCTCTCCGTGAGAAAACAAAACCTCAATTGGAAAGAATCGACGCATCGATACTCTTAATTTAGGAAAACGTATTGTCAGACTTGACAGCCAACAATTAGCCCGCAAAAGTATCACAATTACGTGAGCAACTCTTCAACGACGCTCGGATACGTTCGACATGTTACCTTCTAGAAAGAAGAATCTCAAGCGCGAATCGATAAACGTCTCACCTCGGTGTATCGACTGAACGACGGCAACGACGGGATTGATCGATCGACCAACTTCACGAAGCGACTGAATTCAAGATGGCTCCACTACCAAAACGGGGTTTGGTAAAACTTGTCCTAAACGTAATCCTCATTTCGTGACACACGTAACTCTCGAGACACGGCGATAGCAGATTATTCAACCATATCAATCGAACGTACCGTTCGCGTGAGGTCGATGGTGAATGACGTTCTCTGAGACACGAATTGTCGGTCGAAATTCAGCGCGTTGACGATCGTCATTTTCCTTCTCTTTCCAACGCAACGATTGAGATCACAGCGGGTCTATTCCTCGGTTAGAAAATACTGTAATGTGATTTTTTGCTATGAAATGCTCTCCTAATAGAGACACGCAAAAATGATACGCTCATTTCGACGAAAGGCAGGAGGTCGATGTGTGAGACATCGTGTGTAATTTTGCCATTGAATACATAGTATGAACCCAACGAACGGACCGCAGGTGCGACATGGAACGTCGCTACGGGAACGGCTCGCATTCAATCGGCGGCGATTTCGCGCCAGAGCGACGCGCGCCTCCAGCGACTGCTGCTGCCCCTGGCGGACGATCGAAGCAACTCCGGCGCGATCCGAGCGTCCGCGGTCGACCTACCACGTCGGGAAGCGATCGCACGCGGACGAGGTGCACGCGATCGCGCAGAGCAACAGATGCCGCTGCAGTCTTCACCGCTGCTCGCCTGGCTGCCGACGCGCGGTTTTGCCGAAAATGCAAAAAGGTAGGCAAGTAGCTAGGTAGATAAGCGACCGCGATAGAAAGAGAGAGAGAGCTGTGTCGGCTATATCCGTGTCTAGGCGCGGTCCCGGTCGCCGAGGCTCCGTTATGATCCCACCCAATGGAAACGCTCGCTCCAGCGAGCAGCAGACTCGCGGACGACGCGCACGGGATGCTTTCCGCCTTCCTCTTCTTCTTTTGCTCCCGCGAGATATCGGCCGACATGGCACTCCGCCACGCAACGCTGCGCTTCCGCCGATCCAAATCGCCGCCGGCGCGGCGTGTTGGATAAAATGTACCCGACGATGACGACGACGACGACGGACCGACTCCGCCGCACGCTAAAAGCCGCATGACGGACGTATTTTCGCGTCATTAATATCGCATCGGCCGAATGCGTCGCCGAATGCTCGATTCCCGCTCGTTCTCGCCCGCCGCCGCCGCCGCCGCCACCGTCGTCGTCGTCGTCGTCGGCGCGTCTGTGTCTAACTGCCGACGCCGCCGTTGATCGATTGGGCTATTCCGCGGGAACCTAAACCGCCGTCTTGCCGAGACGCGTTCCCCGCGCTTCTCTGTCGAGCGCGAAGAAAACTTTTAAATTGAATTTTCGACAAATGGCGAATCAATAGTCAGCGAATCAATTTCCTCCGGACGAGACCTGTCGGCGGGAGCGGCCGCGAATTACCCCCGAAAGAGGCGGAATGATCGCCGCGTTATCGGAGCGTCATTTGTTAGGGCACTGTCTACGGCCGATGGCACGGGGCGTGAAACGCGGAATAAATGGATTCGTTTCACTTGTATAAGGGTGAAGGAACGAGAAGAAGGACAAAAGTGGCGCGCGTGCACCTTACGTAGCCGCCAGTCCATAGTTTCGCCGTAGTTCGCGCACACCGATCTCCACTTGGCTGATCGGCGGCGTCCTTTATCTCGTGTGCGAAGCAGACGAGATTCACGCGGTCTCCTTTACGTAATCACGACGCAGAAGAGCGAGACGACGGCGGGCGCGATCGCGAGCGAGCGAGAGGCACAATCCGGAGCCGTCGCGTCGGCCGTCGTGTTGCTTGAAACAACAAGCATACGGCCTCTCTGGACTAGGCGAGCGTGAACGAGCGAGCGAGCGAGCGAGCGAAGGAGCGAAGGCAAGGTCTAGGCTGCCTGGCATTCAAGGTCGCGTGTAGAGCGCAAAGCCCGGATCTATCCCCGCCCCAGATTTCTAGCGCCCTTCGCTCCTCTCTGTGTATCTTCCCCTCTCTCTCACTCTATCTCTATCGTTCTCTCCCACCCTCCGTGAGGAGGGGGCCTCTTTCTCATTATCAATCCCTCCCTCTCTCTCTCTTCTCTGTTTCCTTCGTAGTTCGCGCTCCTTCTCCCGCGACGTTCTCCGTCCCACCCGCGCAAACCGCGATCCGCGCCGCGCATGCAACATCGATTTAGCCATAAAAATTCCCTGCGCTCGACTCTATCACTCGACTATTATTTCCTGCCCGGGCCGCCGACGTAGAGCGCGGAGCGCGTTCCGCTCCCGGAATTCTCTGCTCTGTAAATGCGCGACGCGAAGGAGGATCTCTCTCGTCTCGGGTATATCAGCGTCTGGTATCGTCGTGCGAGGAACGAGGAAGCGTACGTCGAGCGCGCCGTACATTGTAACGCTTTTGCGCGCAACTATGTGTGCATGTGTGGGAGTGCGCTCGCGAGCGCAGCCGACAGAGAAAGAGAGATGGATAGTATATATAGGTAGAAATGAAAAAGAAGGGAAGAGAGAGAGTGGGTGGGAGGGAGAAAGAGACGCGCGCATGTACGCAATACACGTCGACTCTCTGTGCCGGTCTCTCGTAAGGAAACGAACGGAAGCGAGACAAATAAGATACTAGCTTCGCCGAGAGTCGACGGGTAATTCTCGCGCTCTCTCGCTCTCTCGCTCGCGAGGATGAGAAAGGGCGTATCGGCTATTAGGTCCCGTTACGTACCACTACATGGACGAGACATTAGCGGCATTAGTCTCGTTCTACTCTCTTTCTGCCGTGCATACCGCACGATTCTACGTTCGAAAATAGTCGTCGGCATTCGCGCGTCTCGAGCGATTACGCGCAGAAGAGCGGACGCGCGCGAGACGAAAACTTTGCGCAATTTTACGGGGGCCGTGACATGACCTTTACCTCTTTTCAGGAAACTGTAAAAATATCGAACCGCGAGTCGCACGCTCGTATCATCGGACGCACACGAATCTCTCTCTTTCTCTCTCTCCCCCTCTCTCTCTCTCTCTCTCTCTCTCTCTCTCTCTCTCTCTCTCTTCCCGCCGACGTTTATTATTAGCTGATAGCTCATGCGTCTGTCCGCATACAGCAACTGGTCACTCGATACACATTATTGAATAATCTATGGCTATCCGAACATCTCGCAATGTACAGCTTTCCGAATATTTGTTCATATTGGCGTTATTCATAGTTGCGTATGAGAATACAGATAAATGCACTGATTATGGAGGGGAACCTCAACGAAATAATAGGTGACAAAAATTGTCCTATACAATAGGATAATATTATGAAATATAATAGAGTAACGGTACCGAGCGTGACGCGTATGGCAGTATTAATGAATATCTAGAGATATATCTTTGGACCCAAAATGAGGATACGTTCATTAATATTCGCCGTATCTGCGCGGTAGTAAGTAAGCGCGCGTCGCTCGTTTCGCATAAAAATTATACAGTTAATTTCTACTCTCTCTCTCTCTCTCTCTCTCTCTCTCTCTCTCTCTCTCTCTCTCTCTCTCTTTCCGTCGCTCTTCGATCCAGCCGCGACCCAGCAGAATCCAAGAGAGACAGGACGTCTTTTTCGCCATGGACCCAGAAACATGTTGCCTACGCGAAGAGGCGGCTCTGAACCTACAGCGGTATATAACTACGCTAGCCCGGCTGGGTTCTAAATTCAATTCCGTTGACCTAGATTAGGTGCTACGTGACACGATGGAAGTTCGTAGTTGACTCTCTCTCTGTCCCCCGTGTCCTCTCCTCTGTCCTTCTCTCGCTTTTACTGGCTTTCTCTCGTGGGCTCTCTCTCCCTGGAATAGATGTCCGGTAGATACGTCGCTTCGCGACGCGCGGGCCTAAATTAAAATGCAAACGGAAATTATAGGCCGAATTTATATTGGAATTGACAGGTCGTAACTCATCGCGCGCCTTAATCTTCGTGTATAATTGCACTCCACTTTTTGAAAGATTATTCCGCGAAATTTCAACGGGGTCGGGAGACTCGAGTTCCCTCGCGAGAATCCTCCGGTGAGAAGCCGAGTTTTCTCCTGGCGTTCTCCCCGCTTATTGAGAGTCGCGCAGCTCTTTCTACAAGATCCAAACGGCCGAGAGGATTTCTCCTCTCGGAACCGTCATTGTCGTCAGCGTCGAGGATATCGCGACGCGCAAAAGATTGGGGTGCGGGTTGGCGAGACGGGAAGAGGAGGAGAGATCGATGAATAATTTTGGAGTAGTGGACGGGCGAAAAGCCATCGATTGAAATTTTCATCAGCCTTTCGCGCGCCCGCCCGCTCGATTATTTATTCACGGAATAACGAATGGGCGAGCGAGCGAGAGCGAACGAGCGAGGAAACGAACGGAGCGACGAGAGGAGATAAAAGGCGATGTCTAGAGTCGTTTGAGACATTATAGGTCGTTTACACGCCTCTGCTGTGAAACTTTAAAACGCATTTAAACCTCAGCACGCTTGGACATGAATCGAGAGCAGAGAGAAAAATCACGAGAGAGAGAGAGAGAGAGAGAGAGAGAAGAAGGGAGAAAGAGAGGAGTAATCTGTCGCGCTGTCCGGCACGTGCTTTCTGATAATGTGCGCTCACCTTTATTTCTCGCGTGGAAACGCCGCACTCGCAAAATGTATTTAATAATTAAGGGAGCGAGAGCAAGAGCGCGAGAGAAAGGGAGGGAGAGAAAAAAACGACTAGCGTGCGGTTGACATTAATTCACATCGCGCACTTTCCGCCGTATAATATTTACCGCCGTTGGATATTACCACGCTCCATGTTTCCGATAGAAGCGAGCGTCGGAGCACGCTTTAAATTCATGCGGCAAAGCGCGAGTCCGTGAAAGGGCGGCGAATTTTATACGCGGTTTCGAACGGCGGAATCGCGCGCACGGGCTTCATGTTATATATGGGATTCGTTTTTGGCGAGTCTCGAGGCTCCTACGAACGAGAGAGCGAGAGAGGAGCGGCGACGGCGGCGGCCGCTACCGCGAGAACCTGCCGACGAACGGTTTTGCGCAATCCCTGGCCTCCCCGTCCTCCTTTTCAGCAAATAGCTACCAAGCAAGAAATCTCCAACTCCGGATGTTGCGAGCGTATGGCGACGCGAATATTATATCTACATAGAACTGCGACTAAGTAACAGCTTCCATCGGCGAGGATGAGATCTGCAGAAGCGCGTCAATTGTCACGCTTACCTTGCGCATCATCGATAATAAGTACGCGAAGACAATTTTCGAATATTCAGTCGAGATTTGGACTGATCGAAATTGAGCGTACTCCAGTGAGAAATGTTGACAGTGATTAAGTGGATGGCGAGACTTGCATAATGTCAAAAATTGCCGGAGCTGCTCGAAGATCTGCTCTCCGTCTCGCGCTCTCTCTTTCTCTCTCTCTCTCTCTCTCTCTCTCTCTGTCTCTCTCCAGGCCAGGCCGGCTCTCTCTCTCGGCTCATAAATTATACAATCCAGCGCGGACACTCCCTTTCCTAACCGCTATCAATTTCCGCGACGGCGAAGCCACCGTCGGAAGGTCTCCCGTTCGATCCAAGGAACCGTCGTGCGATTTCGCCGATTCGCGCGAGAAAGCCTCCGAAAATTCGCCAGAGGATTCGCGTAGATCGGAGCTCCCAAACGGTCACCTCGCTCAGGCTCCCCGGAGTCCGTAACCGCCACCGACACTTTGCCCTTAAAGGCCAACGATATCGGTCAGGCGAAGGCGGCAGAGAAACCGAGCTCTCGGCTCGTGCGAGCGACAAGCACTCACGCCGTGCGCGGCGAGTCCTCGTCGGTGTAGAGGTCACACCAATACACACTTGCACGTGCACCAACACACACTTGCGCGTGCCGCACACGGTAACCTTCCTCACTATATCTAGTCCCGTCCCTCGGCTCGCTATAACCGAGCCGAAAGCGTTTCCGGGGTAGGCGACGGGCGTCGGTCGGAACCGGCTGAAAATAAGGGGTTGCAGGGGAGGGTGAGTGGGTGGCGTACACGTGTCACGGCGAGGTGGTGCGAGAGAGTCAGAGAGAGAGGTATAGGGGAAGAGAGGAAGAGAGAGAGACACGGATCGAGCTGGAGAGCTCTCTGGATACATCTCTTTCGCGCACGAGCACGAACGCCGGGCGGGTGGACTCGCTCGCTCACTCGCCTGCGCGAGCGGGTGGTCAGGTCAGGGATGGAGCTACAAGTGGTGATAAACGAGGCCGAATCCTCGTTATTACCCATTGGGGAAGACTCGGGAATTCCTGCGGAATTCTGAACGCGCCGTTTTTCCGGCCCGGCGAGCCGATCGAACCGCGCTGCTTTCTCCCTCTCTCTCTTTCTCTCGCTCTCTCTGCCTGCTTCCCTCTCTATATATCTTCGCACACGCAGTCACATACCGCGAACTTTCGCCCGGAACAACCCGCCGTATCGTACACATATTTCCCCGTGTATATTAACCCGCGCGATTCGAGGGGCGTGAGAACGAGAGACTGGCGGTCCCCGATGAGAATGAGGAATGGCTTTTATCGCGCGATACAGGGTGCGTTTCGCGTTTCAACTCTCCTGCTCTTCTTGCGCTATATGTTCTTGTGTGTATTTCGAGTAAGATACGCGTGCATTCGTGAGCTCCTCCGACGGAGAAAATGGAAAGAAACGAAGTGCGAGGAGTGGAATTTTAAAGCGAACGGAGTTAATAAGGGTCGCGCTTCGTTTTCATTCACGTGATGCGAGTGTTGCTCTCGCAGGCAAGCTTTCAAGTGAGGAGTCTCTCGAAAAATGCAACCCCATTCGTGTTTATTCGCGAGTCGTTTAAAGGAGTTGAAGAATTAAGGCCCCTCTGTACTAAATTTGTGAAATTTAGCAGGAAAGTTGCCCTCATCCAGATTGAAAGGGCAGTCACTCTTCTTATGAAAGTGACTGTGATAAGCAAAAAGGATTAATACCTAATAACCTTCACATTTAAATTGGCTTGCAGATATTGCTAGAATATTACTTCTCTGTAAATTCTATGTACCACAGACAATTTTCTAGCAGATACAAAAAACAATGAGATCTGCAAAATATTTTTTTTCGCAGTGTGAGAATTCCATAGCAAAATACCAAGGGTCTTAACGCGGTTTCTGTGTTTCAGGAGACGCGACGGATCCGTCTCGCTCCCTTCGACGTCCCGGAGATCCTCGACGTACCAAAATGTGCACGATTAATTCCTCGACGCGCTTAAACGAACCGCGAGCCCGGGACTCCTTCAGTGCGGCGACCTTCCCCCTGAGGTAAACGATGAAGGCGGCCGAATGCCAAGTAGAATTAAGCGATGATTATTAGTACCAGACTTTTCTTCATGAATAACGAATGGTATGAATAATTGATAAATCACGCGATGGGCGACGTGATGAATGGACTGCATAAAAGTCCAAACGAAGTAAAAGTCCTTCCATTCGACATTCCCCCATTGCTTCTTCCGATTTGATCACTCTGTAAACATCTTTTTCACACGCCGTATTATGTTTTACATTCCACTTTGTTTTTCTTTCGCTCTTTTTTTCTAAGAGCGCATAAAGAGACGTGACGACGTCTTCACTGAACTTTGAACTTCTGCTGAAGAGTCATCGCGTATGGACGATCACGAAACGCGGCAAGGGATTAATCTTTTTATAATTTCACGTAAAATCAGGAGCCGGCGAGCCCGGGCCGTATACTGCGCGTATATACCGTATCCGACAGTGAGGGGTTAAATCTGCCGGAATATTTTGCGCAAAATATTATCCAGACAGCCGACGCTGTCGCGCGCGCGCGCGTGCTCGACGAGCGATGTTCCCAAGATATTATTTTTCGCGCGAGGCGCGCTCTCCCTCCTCCTTTATGCCCCTTTTAAACGTAACCCTTTAACTGTAATCTCCTCCTCTCCGCGCGCATTTACTTCCCTTCTTTTCCTCGCTGACCGTGCCACGGCGCTCGTTAAAAACTGCAGAATTATTCCGCAAGACTTGCGTGTAACGCGCACGTGACATTATTTATCGACCGTCGTCCGGCTGCCAGCACTCCGGCCGGAACAGAAAGGGATGACAGGCTTATCATAATAGGCAATGATCTATATACGAGCGCGTGTGATCAATATTTGCACAATTCTTGTTTTATAAGCTTCTATTCTATCTTTGGATCCTCGCTGCCGCGCTGCGGGATTTGGCTGACGTTAGATTTAGTAGCCGCATTAATTTCAGAAGCGTCCCGGCGTATATTCACGTAGCAAGTTACGGCTGCAATTATGGGGGATGGGGAGAGAGTACAATATTATTTAAGCAGAGTTACGTGTGGTTTTCGTCATTATATATATACATATATATATATAGGTGTGTGTGTGTGTGTGTGTGTGTGTGTGTGTGTGTGTGTGTGTGTGTGTGTATGTGTGTGTTACACGAAGCAGCCTCTGCATTCTCTCTTTGCAATTCATATCCACGATGCGGTGCGACACGCGATTTTTTAGTATTGATCTTGGCAATCGAAATGTGTTTGCGGATTTTTGGGACATGTTGTTTTTGTGGTAGACGCGCGTGTTCGTGATTTTTCGAATATTTGGATTTGAGTGTGGCGGACGAGTACCCTCGCGCGCTGTCGTAAATCAGAGAGCGTGCGATCCAACATTCTTCTGACGGGTGCTTCGCCGCTTTGTCACACTCGGACGTCTCGGGAGTATACGAGAACGATACGGGAGAGCGAGGAAAAAGGCAGAAAAGAGATCGGCCGAGTGAACGGCAGCGTACGGTGAACAAACAAAGGCTACAAATACGCAGGCGAGCGTGGGGGTTGGGGAGATAGGGTGGCATAAAGCAAGAGAGAGAGAGAGAGAGAGGGTGATACAGCCGTCATTGCCATTATCGACGATATCGTCGTGTGGGTGCACCGTATAATAGGTATCGTCGCGAAGCCGTACCGACGTCGTGTTAAACTGCGAGAATTGAAGAAAAGGAGTCGCGGAGAGCCGCGCGGAAACGCGATGGAAGAAACGTCGAAGGATGAGTGGATGAGAATATGCGCGCGGTAAAGCCGAGTGCGTAGGACGTGAGAGAACGAAAAGGGTGAGAAAACAGGAGAGAAGAAAGAAGAGAGAGAAAGAGAGAGAGAGAGAGAGAGAGAGAGAGAGAGAGAGAGAGAGAAGAGTAGTTGTGCAGCTATCGACCATGCTTACTTCGTCTTCGTCTCGCATCTCGTCGTATTTCAGTCTTCGGGATAACTTCGCAGGTCTCTGGCAATCAAGAGAGTCGACATTTGCTATCCGGAGCCGGGACGGATCTGCCTGTGAAGAGCCGGGAAGTCGCAATAAAATTGACGTCGAAAAAGAAAAGAGATGGAGTCGTTAATTTCCTCTCTAGCTTCCTTGCTCTCTCTCTCTCTCTCTCTGACTCACTCACTCACTCACTCTTTCTCTCTCCACTCTATTCTACTCTCTCACTCTCTTTCCGTCACCCTTTGGGGTGCATATTGCAAACTGACTGTACTCTAGAGGCCCGAGCCGTTTCGCATCGTTCTCTCCTTTCGTTCTCGAGCCGGAAACGACATTACACGCCCGACTTTAAAGGTTCGTCGTACAACGACTCTCGGAGATTGAATGTCGGGAAAACGCTTCGAGCTTACCGCAGAATCCATTGTCGAGGTGCATCGTAACTAATCCTCACTTGGTCGCGCGGGACGATCGATAAGTAGCGCTATTTCGAATTATAACGATATAATAAAATTAGGCACGAGTTCTCTCATTCCTCTTCTGTCTCACGTGCAAATACGAGAAGCGGGGGTGTTAGATTATTATCAGAGATGATCAGGATATTGTATTAAACGTGAGTATATTAAATGCACAGTGAGTATTAAAGGCGTGATTTAACAGCTGAAAGTTAATATACATAATGACGAGGGCGAACTTCCAATGTCCACGTCGGATTAAACGAACCGTTTCGTTTAACGGACTCTGCGCTGAGAGCGATACGACATTTACCTTATGAGCATTAATTATTACGTGCTATAAAGTTGCCGTGTTTAAAATAAGAAGCTCGGCTATTTACGATGCCGCCACTCGCGTTTGCACTTCGCGTTTCGCGAGAACGCCCCGAATCTCAGCAGTCCTAAGTACTCCCTGCTAATTAACGAGTCTCGGCCGGCCGAACTGAAAGAAACTCGGTGGGAAAGCACGACCGTTACAATTATCATCAAGCAAATTGGCGTCGTAATCCTGCACGAGGACGACAAGTCGTGCACGACTCGCTGGAGCCCAAAGGGCTCAGTGCCTGGACGCAAAAATCTTACGCTCTATCGAATATACGATAATATACGAAAAACAACATTGCAATAATTTTTTGGTAAAGAATCAAACGTGCAGTACATTTTTTAAAACAAATATGTAGTAATTTCGGCCATAATTTCTTTATAGTCCAAGATTACTAAATTTTGCTTTAATTTTTGTTACAATATTTTTTTTCCGTGAAATTCCGCAACTTCCTAATATAGCAAAGCAAATAAAGGAGTTCGTGACTTCCAAGTGACACTAATAACTCACCAACCGAATTACAAAATGTCAGCTAAACAGACAGTAAAGGAAATTGGAGATACAAAAAGAGTTTTCTCTGTGCAAGTTGAAAGCACAATGGAGATGTTTACTTCTCACGATTTCACGATTCAAGAAGGAAGGATTCACAATCATCTGGTCGAATACGACGCTAGGATTTGGCCCAATCGACGGGTGTCTTCTCGACACTCGCTGTCGTCAGTCGCGACGAGACCCGCGCGCTCGAGAGAGAAATTCCGTCGTTATATTTCCAACGTGTGTTCCGCCGGAGTTGATGTTTGCGGCGGCGCACGGACGCGAGTCGAGCAATCAGCGAATGTTTGTCGAGCCCTTTCGAAATTCATTAGCGTGAGCTTTTCGTGATGGAAACGCCGCCGCTGCCGCGGTCGCCGCATTCGATCGTATCCCTCGCGGACGAATAAATCGCGGCGATAACAACGAGCAACCATCGCGTTCTCCTAAGTCGCGGCGCGAAAACGAAGAGCGCGGTCGAGACGGGCGATTTGCGGCAGTTTCCGGGAGGAGTCCCTTAAGAATCCTCGAGAGCGCGAGGCTGAGAGCCGCAGCTCGCTCTCCGCAGCGGGGAGTAAATGACATACGAACGAGGATGAAACTGGATCGTGTAATTCCGACAGGAAACGAGGACGGAGATGGCCACCGAGGTACGGAGAGGTCCCTTTCTGCCGCAGAGCGGCGTAGCGCGCGATCATTACGAACTTTGACGATTCGTGTAATTCGGTTACGCGAAATCGCGGGTTATTCTCGGCGGGTAAGCTTCCCGGGCGATATCAAACTCGGGGGAGACGACGGCAGGAAGGGGAGAGAGGGCGGGAGGGAGGACGGCCGGAGTATAAAACGGGAGCGCGCGATATCGATCACGTTTTCCGCGTTTCGTCGCCGCGAAATTGTCACGGACCCGCCGCGCTCGCACGCGCCCGCAGCTAAGCCGAATCGCGAAGCGTATCACGCGGATTCTTTGACGCGGTGTCGCGTTTTCGCCGAAATCGTTCCGGCTCCTCTAACAAAGCGGCCGCAGCAGTTTACAGCACGCCCGTGCACACGCGCGATTGCCACCGTCGTGTGTGGCCGTTGTTTCGAATCGCCGCAGGGTGGCGGCGCGGGGGGACGAGAGGGTGGTTGGGAGGGAGCGGTAGAGAGGGTGAGGGCGAGCGCGAGAGGGCGGAGGGAACGGGACAACTGTGTGCAACTGCAACGACAGTTTTATATAGAGACGTCGAACGAATCACGGCTGCATAAATTCATCGTGGAATCGCAATTTCGTGTTGGCCGACCAGTTAGCAAACCGACGGGAACAAATCGATGCCCCCTGGGCCCAACAGCGGCAAATTAATATAGCTCCCGTCAGGCTCCATCGATGATACGCAACAAATTGATGAAATGATTATTGCGCGCGGACCGATATTATTAAGTGCGCGGGCAAACTTTTCCGCTCGCTCCCGTGCAATTCCGAGCGCGGAATTAATTCGAAGGAATTGCATCGATTTCATTATCGACGGATGATTCGTCCCGGGTTGTCTCTGACGCGTCTCTAACCGCGCTTGAAGCGGCCATCGGCCAATCTTGAATTTAAAAAGATACATATATATATATATATATATATATATATATATATATATATATATATATAAACATATATTTTTTCTCACACCGTGCAAGATTAAAACAATAAGTTAGTTCAACCATTTTTTTCTCTCAATGTACGTTTAATATTTCTATCTGTTCCGGGGAAAATTGAAAAAGCGCCTCGTCGGCGCTTTGTCGCTTTAATAGAAAAAAAGGAAGTCATCTGAGAAACAATATCGGAAAGTTTAGAAAGGGCTGTCTGCCGCGCGTATGGCGATGCTTTTCGTGGTACTGGTTGACCGTTTGGTCAAATATTGATAGGGCAGCGATTCGTTATCACGATACTCTCCGTGCGGTACTGAATCCCCGTTTAATATTCCGCGGTCGTTGCGAGGGTTCACACATTCGTATGACCGAGCCGGTTGAATAAAGTCGCCAGTTCATTGTTCATCGTCAGGAGAAGAGTCTCGGCCCGTTTCACGCTACGCCTCGGTGACGACGTCGACAACGACGACGCCGGGTACAGGGCGAGCGAAGTCTACTAGGTGTCGGGGCTCCCATTTTTCATTTTTTCCCCATGCAGGTCGCGCGGCTTGTTTTTTCTTCTCTTCTCTCTTCCCCCCGCTCTCGTCGGAGCTTCCTAGGTGGCAGCGAACCGTACTGTTACCGGCAGGTTGGATCGCGGAATCACACGACGGTCGTCGCGAAAAAACACCAGTAGAGCGAGAGAGCGAGAGAGAAAGGCGACGAGAAGATAGCGCACTGTTGAGAGCGAAGGGTACGGGGCAGGTTACGAACACGACGATTAACTGAAAAGCTCGTGCTCAATTTGCGAAAGTCCAGCGCGCACCCTCTCGCTATCTCCGCCCTAACCTTTCCCCGACATACTGGGTGCTCCGTGCAATCGCACGTGTATATTCACTTCAAGTTCTCAAATACAAAAATCCCTTTCTTTCGAATTTTCCGAATCTTTTTGGGTTTGGTTAGATGGCGTGCAAGTGTGTGGATGATTAACGTACTGTGCGAGTAATTTGGAATAATTTTAGAATATTGAGTCGAATATAGAGGGGATAAATAAGGAAAATTATATGTAGAGATTATAAAGAAATTTGGGCAATGAGGGGTT